GCGTGAGACGTGAATTATAACGTTGTTACAGAGCGACTGTTGAAATTAAGTGTATCGTAAAATTGTATTCGGAAAGAATAAACCAGTTTTATTTAAGAAAGGACTTGTGTCGCTAAAGTCTCGTCGGAACGAAGTTACGAAAAATTAACTAACGACTGGAGGCGTAACAATATCATCCAACACTCTCTCTAATGCCACTTCATGGGCCTAGCAACACACTCTCTGTTGAGTAATACTCAAACTATGATGCCACACTTAACAACACTCTCACTGGACAGCTTTCATTGTCAAATATCATGACAACATCCGCCTGTTATGGCGGCCTAGCAACGTGCCCCTAGCAATGTGTCCTCTGGTTCCATTTCATGGAATTATGATGTAATCGACTTTAGTGCTGGGCGTTATGACTTCATGGTCCTTATGTCTGGGGTCAACACATCTATTTCGCCCTCTGGCGATGTGCTATGCAACAGTCTCTATAACTATTTAATTAAAGAAAGAAATTAAAATTTATTCTTCTAATTTCAATAGTATTCCTTTCCCTTACCTCTATGGTATTAAAATTCATAAATATTTTCTTCGGAAATAAAATAACTAGATTTCCAAAAGGAAAACGTCAATTCATGCTATTTAGATGTGTAGTTGATATATTTAAATTTATAACAGCGTAAATGATGCAACAAAGTAGAATTCAAAGTTAAATAAATTTAGAAAATGGCAGTGAAGCTTACTTGTTATGGAGTGATAAATTATGAAAAATCAATAATTTAGAACAATCAACAATTTTTTGTCTTGCTTTAACCGAGAAGGGGTAGGTTCCATTGTTTATTATTACACTTGTTCTTCAACGTAAATCCTCCTTAGTTAATATACGTCATAGCTGTCAAATAAGAATAATTTATAAATTATGTATGACATCCTAATACACACTACATACTAACGATAATTATTACACACATAAACGTCACTTTTACATACATACACAAAAAGAGTGCAAAAAAGATCCCTTATATGTGATATTTATTTAAAAATTGTATTTGAAAAAAACAATAGTAAGAGCTAAGTTGTCCTGATGGCACAAAATAATACTTTCATTTTAAGAATACTAACTTGGATTTTTTTTTTAATTAATATACAGGAATTGGTATGGATGACACCTTTGTTCTACTAGCTGCATGGCGGCGCACCAATC